TGAATACCTCTGTCAAAATCTAACAGGGCTTTATTGTTGCCTAGATAGTTTATGTCTCCATAGGTCATTCTGATACAATTTGGTTGTTCTATCAGTTTTCCAGGGGCTGGCATCGGTTTTCTTGACAGTGCTCTATAGTTATTTTCATTTGCCATCTCATCAATGGCATCGAAAACTGTTTCTATGGACATTTTGTTATTACTGTTTATGTTATGTTCTTCGAGTGTGGACTTAGTGAATTTTATTCTGTTAATTTGTGTAGCTGTCGTTGTTTTCGTATTATTCAAGAGGCTGTTAGCTAGCTTTGTGATCCTGTTGATTTCTTGTGTTGATCCTTTCAGCATTTTTTCATAGTTATACTGAGTGATTCTTTTGTGTGATCTTTTATGAGATAAATTGCAATTGTTATTTGCACAAATAAATGTTCTAATATCTAGTATTAATTTGTTGTGGTCTACTGCATCCTCATGGACTTCCGATGTCGGATACAGAGTACCATAGAGATCAATTAATTGTTTTATATTTTTGCAGTATAATCTATTTGCCATATTGGGTTTCCTTTGATCCATTTTTTAAGTTTGTTTTTCCTAGTTGTCGTGTTGCTAATTGTTTTCAAGTCATTTGGTAGTTTATTGTATAACATAATTGCTCTTACATAACTGTTTTTTATGCTGATAGTTAGTGTTCTTTTTGGGTGTTGGATTGAGGCGAATCTTGTTTTTCTTTCTTTTCCAATATATTTGTCCTTAAAAGTATCGTAGTGGAATAATAGAGATTCCAATGAAAAGCATAGATCTAAGTTAAGTAGGTATTCATGTGTCACAAATTGGTTTTTATAGATTATTTTTAGTAGTTTGTTTTGCAAGTTTTGTATTACTTTAATTCGACCTGTGTACGCTCCTCCCCAAGCTATAATTCCATAGGTCATTATGCTGTGAAAGAGTGCGTAGTAGATCATTTTTAATGTACTAGTATTCATTATTTTTGATAGCTTATATAGGACAAATGTTAGATATTTTGTTTTTTGGTATAGGATTTGTAGATGTAAATCCCATTTCATATTACTGTCAAAAGTAACTTCAAGATATTTTGTGTTTTCAACTCGGTGTATTGAATGTCCTAGGATTTCAATTTTCAGGTTTTTTGGCGTACTGTCATGATAATTTCCAAATTCCATGTACGTTGTCTTGTCTATATTCAAAGATAGTTTATTAAGAGCAAGCCAAATTCCCACTATTTTTAGATAACTGTTCATATTAGTTTCAGCTTCTTTCCAATTCTTACCTTTTGCTATGATTGCTGTATCATCTGCAAAAGATAGTATGGATTTTTCTGGTAGTATCGTTAGTAGATCATTTATGTATAGTAGGAAAAGTAGCGGACCTAGTATAGTTCCTTGTGGAACACCCATTTTTACTATTTGTTTATCGCTACTTGCATTATTTACCTTCACACATTGTTTTCTATTTGTTAGATAGCTTTTGATAAGGTTATAGGCACTACCCCTAATACCATAGTTGTATAATTTTTGTAACAGTATCTTGTGGTCAACTGTGTCGAAGGCTTTGGCTAGATCCAGAAAAGTTATTGCTATAGGTTTACTTGCATCTAATTGTTCATAAATGTTGTTTGAAATATAATTTAGTGCATGTTTTGTGCTTCTGTTTTTTCGAAAGCCAAATTGATTTGTGGAAAGCAAATTACAGTTGTCAATGAAAGATTGAATTCTTCTATGTATTATTTTTTCAAAGATTTTAGCTATGTTGGAGATTAGAGAAATAGGTCTGTAGTTATTTGCTAAATGTTTTTCTTTTGATTTGTGGATTGGTATAATATCCGCTTCTTTTAAAGCATCAGGCCAAGTTTCATTAATAATGCACTTATTTATAGCAAGTGCAAGTGGTTCAGATACGTAGTGGATTAATGATTTTAATAATAATTAATTAATTCCATCAACTCCTCCTTTTTTGTTTTTTAGTCTGCCAATTATTTTCTTTACTTCTTGTTCATTTGTAAAATTTAAAAATATTGTTTTCGGGTTTATTTTTGGGAGGATGAGCGTTGCATTTTGCGGTTGTATTATATTATTGCTAAGTTCCGTTCCGATTTCACAAAAAAATGTGTTCATTTTGTTTGCAATTTCTTCTGGATTGGTGATTCTATTATTTTTCTCCGTGATGTAATCAATAGTTTTGTTATTCTGAGTATTTCTCCCTAGTTTGTTGTTGACAACTGACCATAATTTCTTAGGATCATGTTGCACCCTTTCTATGATTTTTTTATCGTAATTTTCTTTTGCTATTGTAATTATCTTATCTAAAATTTTGATAAAATTTTTATAGTTATTTTTTTTTTTGTTGTATCGTGAGGATTATATTTCCATTCAATATATAGGTTTTCTTTAGTTTTACATGAATTTATTATGCCTTTGGTGATCCATTTTTTTCTTGGCTTCAAGCTATTAATAGTTTTGTTTGTGACATTTTTCTTTTCTGCCTGTTTAAGGCAATATTGTATTTTCATGATTAAGTTATTGATAGATTGATTTGTATCATTAGTTTCACTATTTTCATTCCAGTTTATAGTTTGAGCTATATGTTGAAGTTTTCGGTAATTAATTTGTTTTTTATTATGTGAGTGATTTATGCTTTTTGTTTGGTTCTGCAACGCCATTATTAGTGGATATTGGTCATTGAACGGGGTGTTGACGTTGAAAGTTTTGTATGCGTTATTTTCCATTTTTATAAAAAAATTATCTATGCATGTTCCACTGTTGTTGTTGCCCAGCGAAGGTCTGGTAATCGTATTAAATCCTGGTTGGTGTCCTTTTTCCATTAACATTTGCAAGAATTCTTGATCCCAAGGATCTTGGCTTAAAATGTCGCAGTTGAAATCGCCTATTAGTATTGAATTTTTTTTCTTTATGTGTTGAGTTATGTATGTTTTGATCGATTGTATGAATTGTGGTTTGTGTAGGTCATGTGATCTGTATATAGCTGCTAACAGTATAGTTTTTTCATTTTCTAACTGTATTGTAGTTTGTAAATTTTTAAAATTTTGTATTTGAATTATTTCTGTTGATTCAATTATGTCGTCTCTGATATAGGTCACCACGCCATCAGCCTTATTAATACTACTGTTGTTATAGTACATACTGTATCCTTCAATATTGAAGACTAGGAAATGTTGTAAATTACATGTTTCAGTACATATTATAACACTTGGTTTTTTTTGTAGGTTGTTTATAAATGTTAGAAGTTTGGTGTAATTCGCATTCAAACTTCTGATATTAACACAGATAATAATTTCCTTTTCTGTTATTATGTGCTCATTTAATTCATCAGTGTTATTAATAATAATTTCGTTGCTAATATTTTCATCGATGGGATGCATTTTTATTTGTATTTCGTATTATTGTTACCATGTAAGTTGAGCGAGGATATGGAGGCTAATGACGCTAATGATGCGCCGCTTGATAGAGCAGGACGCGCGTTAATTGTTGGTTTTTCTGCAGCCGGGTGTTCTATTTTTCCGAAGTAGCGTTGGTGCGTTGGCATTATCGGGTAGTCTGTCATTTCAATGTATTTGTTTATTTTTGCTTTTAAAATTTCACAAGATTGGCTATCAATTGCACTGTGTTTAGTATCAAATTTAGTTTTGTATTTAGTATTGTGGTATGTGCAATTAGGACATGTTTGTGTTTTATTGTTGCATTGACTACCAGTGTGATTACCGCCGCATTTGTAACACGTGGCTTCATTTTTACATCTGCTCCCACTATGTCCAAACCTAGCACAGTTATAACAAGGGCTTGTATTTATAATGTCATAGACTTTGCAGTTTTGGCAACCAACAAAAAGTCTGCTTTTATTATCTCTAATGTGTTTGTACAAATTAGCTGATACCTCCATTATAACTGTCATAGTTTGCAATTTCTCATTTGTGTATGTGTGTATTACTTTACCTTTGTCATCATAATTGTGGAAATTTCTTTGGTTTATATCTGACTCAATGTCTCGCATATTTTGAGTGAAAGATTTGCTGATGCCAGTAACTTTAACTGTTGGTTTCCTAATTTGCTCTTTTTCAATTTTAGCAAACGTGTGTATTTTTTTGTGTAATGTTTTTTCTATAGTGTTAATACTCTCTTCATTCATGCAGTTAATTATGACAGTATCGTTATTTACTGTTTTAATTTTTTTTGTTTGTATTGTTTTATCTTTGATAAGATAATGAGCTACGGTATTTTCTAAATTAGTGGTATCATTTTTATTAGTTCGTTTGATAATAAGTCTTGGTACCTTTTTTGGCTTAGGCTTTGGTAAACTCAATGTTTCTGCATATGAATTTTTAAATATGTTATTTGGTTTATTTTTCTTTTCTTTTGCTAATAACTCATTCCTATTTTGCTTTTCTTTGATGAGTAATTCATTTAGTAATTCATTTTTTTCCTTTGTTTCTTTGTAGAGTTCTTTCAATAAGTTATTTTCAGCTTTTAGTTGTTGTATTTCATCTAATTCACTTACTTGTGTTAAATCCATATGTTCATCGTTTTCATTCATTATTTGTTTCTCATGCACGAGCTCATTTAGTATTTCTTGTTTTATTTCCTCTCTGCTTACAAGTTTGAATTGTGTTATGAAAGCACTATCTTGTTCACTTAAGTCCCCATATGGCAAGTTTGATGTTGGTGCAAAATTTGGATGCTCCTGGCATATTATGAATGAGCTGTTTATTAGTTTGATTGCATTTCCTGCATTGATTTTTGCTACTATTTCACTCGTATGATAGAAATTTTCACATACTAAACACACAACTGCTCCTACTTTTGTATTTGGATGACACTTGAAATGCTTATGTAGCGATGATACGTCAGGCGGTTGTACTTCCGCACCGCTTGACGGCGACATCGCGACTAATTTTTATATTATTTATTTTTTTAATATTTTTTTCGCAAATTAATAAATCATCTACAAATAAAATAATATAAATTTTCTCACCATTTTTGTCTTCAAAAATATATAAACAATAATTGTTGTTAATACTACCAAGTGTTAATACTTTCTCATCACATTCGATAAACTCATTATTATTACTACTCAATTTTATCTCTTTTTCAAATTTTAGACTATTTACTTTCTTTGGATTAACTTTTTCAATTTTCTTATTTAATTCATTTTCAGACTCATCTTCTTCATGAAAATCTACTAAAATTTCTTCCTTCTTAATAATGTCAATATGCGTTGCTACTGTTACTCTACCTTTATACAACACTCTATAACCCACGTTTTCGTATCCTACTAAAATTCCAAAATCAGATTTTCTATCCCATTTACTATCTCTCTTTGATTCAGGTGTTCTCGTGAAAACTTTACTACCGTACAATTTTAAATTCTTAATATTTGGTCTTTTTCCAAAAAATATTTCATAAGAAATTTTATTTTCAATTGTATTTGTTATAGTACGATTTTTCAAAAACATGCTGTTAAAATTACCTCGAGCCAATATCGAATATTTAAATTTGCTTCTGCAAGTAAGCATCGCGCCGAATCTATAATATTTCTGTTATACCGTTCTGCTGTGCCATTTAATTCATGTACATAATGAGGACACTGTCCATAATAATGCCTTTCTTTCTCATCAAATTAAAAAAGTCATTATTTATATATTTTTTTCCATTATCACACCTTATTTTTTTTTAATTTTCTTTCCTCTGAAATTTTCGACTTTATTTATATAATCTAAAAAATATGTGTAAACTTAGTCTTTGAATTTAATTGTATAAACAATAGAACATTTATTATAGTCGTTTGTGAAGGTAATAGAATATATAGATCCATCATAACCTGTGTTTTTATGTGGTCATATATTATATATCAAATTATATATTATATATCAAATTTATATCATTATTGCGCATATTGCATATGATAAACAATTTATAACCCTCTTGATCAAATTATCCAGATCTTTCCCTCCACATTTTGTATTTTACATATATGTCATTACAATTATTGGAATTGGCGGTCACGCGACAAGTTTAACATGTAGAAGTAAGTTGTCATGCATTGCTATCTGTGGAAGCCCATATTATTTAAACTCATTTGAAAATGTGTAACAGTACTGTTCGCGCCGTTTGTGCTTCGAAAATTTTCTTTACTATGAGATATTTATTATATTACTATTTAAAGAAATATATCACTATTTAAAGAAATATGCATATGCGACAAAGCAGAGAGAGAGAGAGAGAGAGGGGAGAAAGCAAGAAGCCAATTTAAGAGAGAGATAAGGTACGCAACGGTACTTACAAATCGCTGCCTCGAAGAAAATGGTTCGCAGCAGGCGCTCAACGACAAAAAGAAAAGGGCCTTTAAAGAGGCAGGCGCGGTGGCAGAAGGCCGTCACACGCACACGAACACTCTCACACTCTTTCTTTATCTTTTGACTCTCCGAGCTCTCCTCTCCTGGATATCGTCGTCAATTTCGTCGCCGAAAGCTTCAGTATCTAAAACAAAGAGGGTTCGGATCGCTAGCCGGCGCATGTATGTTCGCGTCGAATCACCCGAACAATGCGTTAGAGACTGTTTCTCACGCCCTCCCCACTCACTTGCCTAATCGGCGGCACGCGGCACCGCCAAGCGTGGCCAGTGTCGCGCGCTTAGCTGCACTATAGTTGCACTATAGCAGCACTCTTTCCCTCTCTCTCTCTCTCTCTTTCTCTCTCTCTCTCTTTCTCTCTCTCTCTCTCTTTCTCTCTCTCTCTCTCTCTCCCTCTCTCTCTCTGGTAAGCGCCGCACGCACTTTACATCGGCTCCAGGTTTTTATAGTTTTACTAATATAATTTTGTTGCACCTCTGCGAGCAACTTGTTCCAGGTGATGTGTAGTCCAAGGGGCAGCTAGGCTTGAGATAGTTAGTGCATAATTTGCCCTGGAATTACACATTACCTCAATCTATAGTTGTCACATAACCTGTTCCATCTTAATCTGAATGTACGTGAGACTTCAGCAGCCACTGGTATCATCTGGCATCATTTCGCACTACATAGATTTCTCCTGCACATCGGATTCCTGCAACATCGGCTACTAAAGAACACATTGTCATCGCCTACGCACCGCTTTAGTGAGAGAGAAACATCAAAAATTTAATTTAATAATTATCGCCCCGTTATCCGGCTGTGCCCTTAATCAATTTCTCCTGTATCCGTCATCGTTGCCTCTTCGATTGAGTGATTTGTTTTGTTGTTTCTGTTAGCCATCTGCCAATTTATTATTAAGCGACCTATTTTAAGTACTCATAATTCCGAGCGCCATTTATGTTCAGTTCCTCCGCTAATTAATATTCCCGCTAATTTTTCCAATTTTCCCGCGAAATTCGAAATATCTTGCATTTCATGTAACTGCGGGTAGGAGTCACGAAACTCGTTTACTCTTGTTCGCGCCAAATTTTCTATGTATCACATTAATACTATCTTGACCATTTCGACTACGTTAATTCGCTCTTTCCTCTCCAGTTTATTTACTTGTTGAGTTTAACGTAGTTCGACTCCCTCTTAATCCTCTAAACCTTAAACCCGTAATCCCTTACGATTTCTTAATGTCAATTAGAGACTGTGCTAAGTGTTACCTTCCATTACGACGACTCGACAGATCTCTTTTGTGCGGCTCTTGCAATTCGCTTTACCACCTTAACTGTATATCCCCAAATTCTAGGCCGATATCCAAAACTACTGAATTTATATGTTGTGCTGATTCGTCACCATCCAACCAATTACCGATCGCCAATACAGCCGCGCTATTCGCCACGCCTACCGGACACTCTCCATCTATACTCGTCCGGGCCAAGAAACGCCTAGCCTCGCCTACTCAGCCGTTATTGTCGTCGGTAACCAAACACCACTGTATTGCGCCTCTTCATTCGTCACCTGAGTCCTCTGTTCCTGCAACCAACGTTTTCGCTGCGAATCAGTACCACCTTCAATCGTCGTCGCACTCAATCTCACATCAAGGCGTAGATCGCTCTACTACCATGGCGGATGCACCTGAGTGGTTCAAACAAGAGGCCCAACTAAATGCCGACAGACATCAAGAGATGCGCGATTTGTGGTCCCAGTTGCGCATGGAGCACCAGGTCAGGGATGCTCTCTTTGCAGTCACAGATGAGCCGGAACTTCTCGTCCACGGTTTTCCCTCTGACTATCAAGGCACACTCTTCCAAGCAGCAACTTCACTGCTTGTTACGCTCGGTTTTGGCGGGATACACAATCTGCCGCAAATCATACATACGCGTGATTGGAGCCATTCTTCTGTCACTTCCCAAAGCTCTTTATCACTTCCCGGCGCTGCTCGTCGGTCTACTCGCTCATTCGCTTTTCTTGTGGACTCTCCATCAATCAGGGATAGGATTCTGCGTTTCTCGCCGAAGTTAAAGGAGCACACCGCTCAGTCCATCTTTGGTACCGGTGGACCGACGAGAGTCTACGTTCGCCCCATATGGCCGAAGCCGGTCTTCGAACTTCTCACAAAGGCGAGAAAGGTTAGTGCTGAGCTTGGTTATGCCTGGCCAGTGGTCCGTAATCTGAGAGTGTTCTGCAGGCAGACTCAGCGCTCCGAGCTGATCCCCATTTTAACTGAGGCTGACTTACGCGGGCTCGTGCCTCTCCAACGCGTGACACCGTCTGCCGTGAGGCCACCCACTCAGCATACTCATACTCACAGACGATTGTCCCCCTTACCCTCTTCGCCCCATCAAATTAATACCAACCAAATCTGACATACACTGAAATTCAACAATTTAGCTGAGTCAAACTTATCTTTCACTGCTGCGCACGTCAATATTAATGGATTAAATGTACCCTCTCATTTCTCTCTTCTTGAGGCTGAAGTCCTGACCGTCCCTTACGACCTAATAGCTATTTCTGAAACCAAACTCAACGAATTTGTATCAGATGCTCACCTTGCTCTTCCGGATTACAATTTTGTACGACATGATCGTGTGGGCAAGGAGGGTGGAGGTGTTGGTTTTTATGCGCGGAACCCATTGATGATCAAAATACTAGCCGAGTCTGATCCCGTCTATGATAATACTCCTGAATTTATAATTGCCGACATTCAACAGAATCGATGTAACAGGCTACTTTTTGCCGTAGTTTATCGTCGTCCCTCAGCCTCCATCCCCACTTTCTTCTTTGACTCCATCTCTACTTTTCTTCCTTATTACAACGATATCCTAATCACAGGTGAATTCAACTGTGATCTCACCTCTGATCTTCCACATGTTCGTGCTTTTCGTGATCACCTGGACTCTCTTGCCTTAAGGGTTGTTTCTACTGTACCTACACATCATCCTATCTCAACCACTGGGGAAATCACACACACAACCCTTGATTTATTTATCACCAACTACTCAACTAACATCTTACAGTTTTCTCAATCTAATTCACCCTTTGTTCCTTATCATGACTTAATCGCTGTCTCAATCTCAGCTACATACATCAAAAATACCATGAAAACTTTTTCCTCCCGTCCTCTCCAACACATTGATCCCTCAGCCCTTAATTTGATAATCGACACTAATCTCTCAGTTTTCTCCTCCGGACCTTTACCGGGCCTCTCACACTCACTTGATCAGCTTGAATCTATCTTTACTCTCAATGTACTTGCTGCATTTAATCAGCTTGCCCCACCTCGCAAGATCACTATCCCATCCATGAAAAAGCCCTGGGTCTCTGGGGAGCTACGATCCAAGATGCGCACACGTGATCATCTTTTCCTTCGCTACAAAAAGACAGGTTCTATTGAAGTACTTTCCCAATACCGGTTACTTCGTAATCAAATCTCAAAATCCCTAGACACTGCAAAGAATTCCTTCATTCATGACACCATCCACAATGCAAAGTCTATCACACACAAATGGGGAGCCCTCCGGGACATGGGTGTAGCTTCCAACCCTCTTCCTTCTCCACTACTCCTCTTTTCCCCTGACATTCTGAACGTTTACTACGTTTCAGTTGCCTCTCGTCACCCTGCTCTAACTAAACAAGCTTTCGATGACATAATTAATGCTCCTATATTCGAACCGATTCCCGCTCATTTTCCACAATCCTTCACCTTCTCTACTGTCTCCCAGCGTGAAGTTGAGTTCGAGGTCTTTGCCCTTCGCTCCAAAGGCAAAGGAAACGATGGCCTCTCCTCCCGAATGCTAAAACTTGGTCTTAGTTCTCTAGCTCCCTTTCTCACATTTATAGTAAACCAATCCATCCTCACTTCAGTCTTTCCCTCAGCCTGGAAACGCACTATCATCTGCCCTCTCTCAAAAACTAAATCACCCCAGTCTCCCTCTGATACACGGCCGGTATCTCAGCTTTGCGAGTCCTCTAAGGTCCTGGAGCGCTTACTTCACAAGCAACTCTTGAACTATCTGGAGGCCAGCAATTTCTTTGACCCAAGACAGGCTGGATTTCGCAGGGGGCACTCAACTGAG